CCCTCCAATAATTCCCGAGTATAAACATTACCCCATCATCACAGGGGTAAAAGAGGCTAAACCCCACCTAACAAACCTCACCTTTGCAGCTGAGAGCCTACCTGAAGGCTTTTGACAGCCAGAGAGTCAAAACGAACCCCTCGAAGGCAGCGACAGCCTGGCGGTTCCAGAGGTTCATCCAGATGCTGCACAGCGCCAAGAAGAGAGATGTCCTGCAGCTGCTGAGGAGAGCGCCCGAGGAGATGCTGTGAGACTCCCAGGAGCGATCTTGCCAACACTGGCTTTGTGCACCTAGAACCCTGGCACATAGGGTGGTTTGGTGCCAGTCCGTACACCATACCCAGGCCAGGGAGACATCCAGACGAGCGTGAACGTACTCTGTTCTTCCTTAATGCCCATTCTCTACAAACACTGCATGGGTTGGGGTGTTTTCTGCTGGTTTTGGAGCAGAGCAAATACTCCAGCAAGGCTTTCTGCAAATATCGTTGGAGATCTGTTATTTACAGACCATCCCTACAAGGCCATCACATCCACCCCTTGTCAGTGTGGGTGCTGGGGCCAGGCTCCTCTCTGCTCATGGAATACCTCGATGTGGGTCAGTTCAGAGCAAGACCCAACCTTCCAGGTGTTTTGTAACTCATGAACCAAAGGTCCCAAGGGTTAAAGTAAGAAGAGAGCATGGAAAAGAGAAAGAGGGATGAGGGTACCTTGTTTCTCCTCCAGCTCTATTGGTCGTGCCACTGATGACCTCCCTCTTCTTGCTCCAGCCCTTTCGTCGTGGAGGCGGCGGTGGCTGCGCAGTCGGTGGCATCCTTGGCAGCTCTCTCGGACTTCCTGGATTTCAGCAAGGAGCCCAGGGCCCTGCTGGAGAAGTTTCTCTATGCGGCAGCTTTCTCTCCCCGGCCTTCGGGAGAGCTTCTCCGCCTGGTGTTAGTAAGTACGGGCATTTCTCTCCCTCCCTGAGGTTCCTGAGTCCAGGTGGATCCTCACCCCATTTCAGCCAAGAGGGAATGGCAAGTATATTTTCCTGAAAAAGGAAAATATGTTTCTGTAGAAATATATCTTCCTGCTTATGGGATTATTTTATGTGATTTTAATGGGACACTGGCGATGGGAGTAGACACTTCTCCAAGGGAAACCATTCAACAGAAAGTGCTTTATAGCAGTGCATTACAGATAATAAAAGCTAATTAAAAGCCACTGGGAAAAAAACATCATTTTATCCAATTGATCCATGCATTGCCTCCTTCAAGGCAGGCAAGAACTAGTTTTTCCTTACTTTTTTGGTAAATGCTATGAGATAATAGGTAAAACACATTCCTCATCTCTCTTTTTCCTTTTTTTTTTTTTTTGCCTCCTAATACCCCTTTCCTGGTGCCCAGGACAAGCTGGATGGGAAGCAGCTGGCCCCCGAGGTCCAGGAGACAGGGATAGTTGCCCTGGGCTCTCTGGTTGGCAAGCTGTGCCAGCAGAAGCTGTGTGGGCTGCAGGTGGGTCCTCTGCAAACTTCCATGCTTGGCTTTTTCTGACCCCACTCTCCTCTCCTCCTGCAGCATCCAAAATGTCTCTTGCCCCTCCTCTCATTTTCCTCCTGCAAACCCCGAGCAGGAGGTGGCGCATGGGGTGGAAACCATCCTCGCAGGGCTACGAGATGCTGAGGCGGAATCCGAGGTGGTCACATACCTGCTGGCCCTGGGGAACACAATGCTCCCCGAAACCATCCCCACCCTCCTGGACCGTGCCGAGGAGGGTCCCGCCGCCATCACCGCCGCAGCCATCTCTGCCCTGCGGCGATTTCCCGCTGGGCACATCTCCGGCAAGGTACGAACAAAACTGCCAAGGCTTGGCGCTCCTCTTCCTACCCAAAGCCAAGCCGTTGGGGTGCAAACGGAGCCAGCATTTGCCCATCACCACCCTGCCCTCTCACGTCAGGTGAAACGAGTAATGCGGAGGATTTTCCATGAGAAGAGGAAGAGCTACGAAAAAACGTGTCGCCTGGCCGCTGCGGAAATCCTCCTGGATAACGAACCCTCACCCATGGATGTCATCAACATCCTGCTGGCTGCCAACGAGCTGGAGACGGAGACGGCAGCGTTCCTACTGCTGAAGGTCCGGAACAGCCTGCGTGCTGACCACCACCCAGCAAGGTGGGTCTGGAGGCCAAGGTTGCATTCTTCCCCCCCTAGCCCTACACTGCCTTTTTTCCTCCTCCACACTCCAGCTGTAGTTTTTGACCCAGCATGCCTTTAAAGCATGCTAGTATCCCGTCTTGGAGCTGGCATTGAGGCTGCCTGGAAATTCCTGGCTGGAGAAGGAAGAAAACAGCAGGGCTGCTAATGCAGATGACAGCCAGCCAGAAACCTGGCATCCCTCCCTGTCATGCCCCGTGGCAGCGGGACCCAGGCTCGTGGTTTCAGCAGAGTCCTTGGAGGCCAAAGTTCTGGCTCGCAGGGCAGCGCACAATTTGTAACCGCATTAATCTTCCTATCTGCACAAAACGAACCCAGCACGAGCATTTTTTGAGAGCTAAGCAAAAGCTGCACGAAAATACCTGATTGGTTTATCCTAATAAACCAGAGGAGAAGGAAATTCCAGGGGAGCCCACGTCTACTCGTTTCCTTTTTTGCTTGCATTACTCTGGGCAGTCAGCAGCAAAGCAAAATACTTTGGAAATCTACATTTCCTTTTTTGCACAGCCTTCTGTAATAACAACTGGCATTTTCCCTCCCTTCCCTTCCAGCGCTGACATACCCTTTCCCTCTTGCTTCCAGAAAGATAATGAAAGACGTCATGAGAGACCCGCGGATCAATAACTACAACTCCTTCTCGAAAGCTGGCATCTCCTCTTCTTTCTCAGGACCTCTGACAGGTGACAACACAGAGCACACTGACCCCATGGTCCCTTCAAACAGCTAAAGGAGGGGCCTTTTTTTTTTCAGAAGGGGGCTCAGCTATATAGAAATGCCCCAAAATCTCAGTGTGAGGCATCTAAGCATGCCCGACCAGCTAAGGCTGGCTAGTTGCCATCACCCAAGCTATATATACCTTTCTCTGACACCCCTACAGCAAGAGGGCTGGGCTGTGACACATACTTTTCCCAAATCCTCCTAATTTGAAAGAGAACCTTCAGTTGGAGATGGAACCAATGGTAGGTTGTAGGTAGGAGTTTCTGTGCTTTTCCTGATAAGTCAAGACATTTTGCTCCATTCCTCAGGTATTTTTAATAAGCTCTTCAAAGAGAAGAATCCTTGTACTGTGATAAAAATCACCAAGCTTCAGAGAGGCTGTAACAATCAACGCTGGCTAAATATCTCCTTAAATCTTCACCCCTCAGCTCTCATTTCTGTCCCTCTTCAAATGAGCTCAGTCTAGCCTTGCAGGAGGAAGCAAAATAGCCAACAGCTGAAGAAAAACATCTCAATGCTAAACCCTTCGATTATTGCAAGAATGGAAGGAGGTGGTGCGGAGCAGCTTTCCCCTCTGAATCACTGAGTTTGGTCAGATACTTCACGGCTAACACAAGAGATCTATGCAGGTCAGACACCCTG